TCACGCTGGTTTCCGGCGGGGGGGGGGTTATTCTCATAGAGTGGGGTCACGGTTAAAAAGCCCTCTAGTTTCCATGAGAGTGATTGGTTTGTTCCTTATTTTAAAACTTCTGATGACAAACTCCCCTTTGGCAATTATAACTAAAAGTTTCTAGATTTTTAGTTATTTAATAACTCCAAGCTTCATATTTTAGGTTGATGGAAACCTCTCCCCAGAACTATCTTGGTCAAGAGTGAAGTAGTGAATTATGTTCAGTCAGAAAGAAGATTCTATTTTATTCCTAAATAATCTCTTTGTCCCTAAAATCATAAAGGGTTTCCATTCATTCCGATGGCTTTTCCTCCCTATTTAAAAAAAGAATCCTTTCATTAGTCTTTTGGTCTTTTCCAAGATGCTGCTAATAATCTCGCTTTGCCTATGTGATTTTTTACACTGTATACTTGTGGTTTTCTCTGTTCTCTTTCTCTGTAATCTTCCTTCCCTGGTTTAGGTAACTGTGCTGGTTTTGTTTGTTTAAGCAGTTAGTATTTCTTATCCACAGAACATGCATTTCCTGGATTTCCAATTAAGTGTGGTGGAAGGATCCCTGCCCTGGACTCAGAAGACCCACACGGTCTCAGCCCTGCCACTAACTAGGTATGAGATTGTGGATGAGACACTTACTGTGGCTTTGGTTTCCTTCTCTGTAATATTAGAGATTGGAATTTTAAAACTCTAAAATTCTAAAAAGAATTAAAAGGAGTGACCAGCCCTCCCTTAGGGCTGAGTTTTATATTTTATTTTTATATTACTACTTTTTAAAATTTCAAAGTTTCCTTGTAATCACATACTTTTTTTTTTTTTTTTTTTTTTTTTTTTGGGTTATGCGGGCCTCTCACTGTTGTGGCCTCTCCCGTTGCGGAGCACAGGCTCCGGACGCGCAGGCTCAGTGGCCATGGCTCACGGGCCCAGCCGCTCCGCGGCATGTGGGATCTTCCCGAAACGGGGCACGAACCCGCGTCTCCTGCATCGGCAGGCGGACTCTCAAGCACTGCGCCACCAGGGAAGCCCCATACATTTTTATATAGATGCATAATCACACGTGAGGGGCTTTTTGGTGTACTTTCCCCCCTTTATTTGCTTCTTTCTCCCACTCTCTTCCCCTCCTACCTTTATGTCATATATGTATATATGATTAACATAATATGTATAGATATGCATTTTTTTCCTATAGAAAAATGGGCAGAGGATAGTATTTGCACAATTCATTTTCTCCCATTTACTCTTATTTTCTATCTGCTGAAACTTGGTTCTGTTTTCTCTGAGATTTCTTTAATACTACTATGAGATTTTGTTTTGTTTTATTTTGGGTTTTTTTTGGCTGTGCTGCGCAGCTTGTGGGATCTTAATTCCCCGACCAGGGATTGAACCCCAGGGCCCTGGCAGTGAAAGTGCCGAGTCCTAGCCACAGGACTGTCAGGGAATTCCTGAGATGTTTTTAGCAATCACTTTTTTAAAAAGCTTCCTAGAATTTTTTTGTCAGATGCTTCCTTTTTCATAACATTATGTTCTTGTTTTATAATAAGTGTTCTCCAATTTTTCTGAATATTTTTATTAGAGATTTAAAAATATAGCTTTTATTTCCTGAATTAGCTATGGTTTGTCTGACATACTTTTCTTCTTGCTTGTCTTGGTCTTTCTCTTTCATGCAAAAGTTTTTTCCAAATGTTTGATAATCTTGCCTGTCCATATTTGAGAATGCAACAGTAGACAAGTCAATTAGGATCTTTGTGTCCATGGGTGGGTCTTGTAAGACAGTTTACTCCAAGGTGACCGATTGCTTAGGAGTCATGCTAGAATGAGAAGGGCTTTTATCTCAGACAACATCCATACTGTTCTAATTATCCCCAGATGCTTTGTTCATTTCCTTTCTTCCCTAACAAGGTAAATACCTAGCTGCCAGACATACTTCCTGCTTCTGGTGTTGGTAGTGGTAGGGATGGAGTGGGGCTGGACTATTCACTGTAATAGACTTTCAGTTAATGCCCTGGTTTCCAGACTCCATCCTGCCTGGCTCCCCAGGCTGAGCGTCTTCTGAGCAAATCAACAGTCCCCTCAGCTCAGTCCTGTGATCCTCTTCATTAGATACCATTCTTTAATAACTTTCTGAAATCTATTGAAATTTCTCATCTGGTGATGGTCTCCTCGGAATTCTGTTCTTTGTTGTGGATTTACAGCCTTTTGAAGAAAAATCCCTTTACTATAATTTCAATGGGATACTGAGAGGCAGAAGACACAAACATAAGCGTGTGCTTAATTCCTGTCTTGAATCAAGACAGTAACTGGACTTTTGTGAATAGGGTCATTTTTCTTACTTGTAGTAGTTACCTAGCTGATTCTCTTGGATGTTCCAGGTACACAGTAATATGATGTATTCTATAATGTTAAATAATGGCTCAGCAGAGACCTTGTCTTCTTGACTTAAATGGATTTTTTTTTAAACCATTCTGTCCCTTTAATATGATCTTCTCTGTTGCGCCAATCAGAGTTCTTATTCCTTTGTAGGTGACAGGATATTTTTTTTTTTCCTTCTTCTTATTTTTGGAAGTTCAGGGATTTCACCAGGATATCTCAGCAGTGATATATTTTTTTTTAGGAATTTTGGGCAGGAAAGGAAGAGAAGTTTTAGGAACCTGTGCTTATAATACTTTCCTTCCCAGAAATCCCTCTACTTGTTAAACACCACTCTGGTATCTTTTTCATTTGTACCATGGGCAGCCTAGGGTACTGGGGTTTAGTTGGGTCGTGCCCTTTTTCTCAACTTCCTCCAAAACCCTTCCAGTTTCTAACAAAATTCAAACACTCTAGATCTTTTACTATCTCTGAGATCCTCCGATTATAACAGGAAATATGTGAGAACACAGAACTAGAGGCCCTAGCCTTCAGTCTCCCTCAAAGCCTCTACATGATTCATTGCCACATCCTCCTCCTCCCCTCCCCCAGCACAGGCCCCCTTCTCCTCGCCCTCCCCCACTACGGACCCTGCTCCTCCTCGACCTCCTGCTCCCTCACCACAGGCCCTCATCTGCAGCAGGGGCCACAGCCCCTTCTTTCCTCACGCACTGTGAGGTCAGCTGCCTCGTGAACACAGCAGACATAGCCATGTGTGTCTAATGATTATAAACCTGCCTAAATCATATCACCTCTTAATATCATCAGTCACCTCTGTTAGTGTCCTATCACATGAGAGAAAAGGGTGATCTAAAACCAATTAAAGATTTATTCTGACTTAAATTTCTGTTTTGTCACCTAAAACTGAGGGCGTTCATCCCCTGATATTCTGTCTTAGACTAAGGGCTACTTGGCTGGAGCCAGGACTATTCTTCAGTAATATTTTCCAGAATGAGTCCTGTAGAACTCTATTGATGTCCACAAGATCATAGTGGGGTTTTTTTTGGGGGGGGGGGAAAGACAGAAAGGAATCCCAAGGTCAAATATATTCAGAATATACTATACATTATGTCTTCCTCTTGAGAGTCATAGACTCTGTGTGTGTGTAGGGGGGAACTGTTTAACTTATTTACTTGGAGCTAGTGTTCCAGAGAAAAGCATCTTGAATTATTGCTTTACAGTAATGTCTATTACAGTTTACTGACATCTCATTTTCTATCATCCCTAGAATTTCAGGTCAGCCATTCTTTTAAATGACACATAAACCCTCTGAAAGTCAGGAGTTCTCTGGATTGATTACAACTCTGTCCCTGGGGTATAAACATTCTGTGCTCACACAGCCTTCACCTAGTGTAACAAATGGGGTATTTTCCTCGACTTCTATTTGTATTATGTTTACTTTGAACGTTTCCTTGAAAACTCTCTACACGAAACTGTTGTTGCCTGTCAGGCTCCCTAATAAAGCTGTTTAGCTTTGTTATTTTGTCTTAACTCAGACTTTAGTCATTTGCCTAGAAAGTCACTCTTGGGAATCTCACTCACTCTCTCAGTTGCAAACAGCACCTGTGTTCTGGAACTCCCAAATCTACCTCCTGTCCCAATCTCTTATCTAAACTCTAGCTACCCCCCACTCCGTGGGGTGGGATAAATTAGGAGTTTGGGATACTATATATAAAATAGATAATCAACAAGGACCTACTGTATAGCACAGGGAACTATACTCAGTATTTTATAATAACCTGTATGGGAAAATAATCTGAAAAAAAAAGTATATATGTATGTATAACTGAATCACTTTGCTGTACACCTGAAACTAACACATTGGAAATCAACTATACTTCAATTTAAAAAAACAAAACAAAACTCTGGTCCCATACAACTTAGCACCTTTGGTTTTATTTTCTTCAACACAGATTAATCAAATTTTGCTTGAATTATCAGCTTTTCCTTAAGGGTAACCATGCATAATCACTATGAAACCTGCTGTGAAACTTCAGCATTCACACAGACAAACCATGAGTCGGAGAACTCATTTTGTTTCTATTAGCTTCAAATAAGTCAAAACCAAATCCTATCATATCAGGCCTGCAACAAAAGTCGCTGGGTTAAACCCCCTGCTTATCATCATACTATGAAAAAGAGAAGAGTTGACATTTAACAGTCACCCCATCCTTTTAGCTTTGAGAACAGTACTGGAGGGATTTCCTGCTGTCTAAATTCAAGCTGGGATTTCAGAGTTAGCTTATTAGCACATTGGGGAAAATCACCCGTTAAGATGGTGGGAAGAACAAACCTATCTACTGCTTCTGTCCACTGTTTTCTATCAATGGATAGAAAACACAGCTGGTGATGTTTTAAATGAGAATCGTTGTGGTTTCTCATATGCCTAACCTGTATTACATTCTTGCTCAAAAAAGGGCCCTGTTCCTTCCATCTGTCTTACCAGATTTTGGGTTTGGCTGCGCTGGCTGTGGACTCCCTGGCAATACCGACTCTGCTGACCGCTTTGGCCGCCCTACTCGGCCTCAAATCCAGTCAGCCTCGATCACCGCACGGCGCCCTACTCGGCCTCAACTCCAGTCAGCCTCAATCATCGCAAACAGTTGGCTGAGCCTTTGCTTGTCAGGCTCACTGGGGGCACGACAGGACTTCGTGTGCACTCTGATATGTTCGGCGAGTTTCGACTTATAAATGAAGCCCTTGCCGCAGTCTGCACAGGCGAACGGCCTGTCGGGCCTGTGGATGCGCTGGTGCCGAAGCATGTGGCCCCTTTCCCGGAAGTTTTTATCGCACTCGGGGCAGCGGAAGGGCCTCTCACCGGTGTGCAGGCCCTGGTGGCTGAGCAGCTGTGCCTTCAAGCGGAAGCTCTTGTCGCACTGGGGACACTGAAAGGGCTTCTCGCCTGTGTGCGTCCTGATGTGCTCCACAAGCTTGGACTGCTTGGCGAAGCCTTTGCCACACTCGCAGGAGAAGGGCATCCGGCCGCCGTGCAGCAGCCGGTGCGCCTTCATGTCGGCCTTCACGCGGTAGCTCTTGCCGCAGTCGGGGCACGGGAACGGCCTCTCGCCCGTGTGCAGGCGCTGGTGGCTCCGCAGCTGCCCCTTGAGACGGAAGCAGCGGCCGCAGTCGGGGCAGCCGAAGGGCCGCTCGCCGCTGTGCACGCGGAAGTGCTCGGCCAGCTTGGACGGCCGTGTGAAGCCCTTGCCGCACTCCGCGCACTGGAAGGGCCGCTCGCGGCTGTGCGTGCGCTCGTGCGCCTTCAGGATGCCCTTCAAGCGGAAGCTCTTGCCGCACTCAGGGCAGCCGAAGGGCCGCTCTCCGCTGTGCACCCGCAGGTGCTCGCGCAGCTTGCACGGGTGGGCGAAGCCGCGGCCGCACTCGCCGCAGGAGAGCGGCCTCTCGCCGCCGTGCCTCCTCAGCCGGAAGCCCAGGCCGCACTCCGGGCACGCGAAAGGCTGCTCGTCTGAGTGCAGCCGCCGGTGGAGC